GTGTGTGTGTGTGTGTGTGTGTGTGTGTGTGTGTGTGTGTGTGTGTGTGTGGCTGAGAACATTCTTCCATATATGATGTGGTTGAACTGGTTTTTCTGTTCAAATGAAATCATATTTTCAGTGCTTTAGAAGGTATGTGTGAGTAATCATGTCAATGAAGTAAAGCACTCAGAGCTAAATAATAATAATAATTGCATTTATATAGCACATATCCATGCCCAAGAGCTTGCTCTATACGCTTTACAACTATTATAACCCCAGCAGACCCTCTGAGAACACTCAGAAACATTCTTTGCTTCAGCGGAAGCATACATATCTGCAATGGGCTAATCAAATTAGTTGAATGGTACAGAGCAGTAAATAAATGCAATCTATTATCATTATCATTATCATCATCATCATCCCTCTGTCATTCAAGATGTAGATGATGTTCTATTCTAAACACAACCGTCAAAATACCAAACTTTACACCCCTGCTCATTCAAGATGTCGATAAATCTAAACACAACCTCCAAGATTCCAAATGTTATATATCCAGAGTACACCTGCTGCATAATCAAACAAGCAGCACTGGAATAATTACAGACAAAACTACACCCAGGACTTGAATTGAAAAAAAAAAAAAGATTTAGCATGAAGTCCGCATGTATTCTCTGTCAACAATATAAATACAGCGGATAACACCTGCTGTGGAATGAGATTAGCAATAAATATACACCACTCTTTCCAGAAGAAGTGGGGGAGGGGGGGGGGGATGTTGTATTTATGTCCTTCATCAAAAGCAGAGCTGAAGATAATACAATGTCACAACATGGATGTCTCTGAAATGGGCTAATCAGATTTGTCGTAATCCTCAAATGTGGAAAGAAAGAAAGATTTCAGATGGCACTATCTCATCTGTATATGACTGCAGTCATCCTAACTTTGTGGTCATCGACTCTCAACTCAGCGTGTTCGTACATTGTGTTCTTCATTCTTTCTGTGCACGCTTCATCTCGCCAATCCGCTTGCGACGGTGATCGACACGCACTCAGTGTTTCGTCGTTGTGTCAAGTGTGTAGCAAACTCCTCCTGTTGGTGCGTGTCACAGCGTCAGTGCATCTCCCACTGCCATTGACACTCAACTCAGTGTGTCGTCGTTGTGTTACACATCTCTCCTTCTCTCTGCACGCGTGTCAGCTCAGCAGTCGACCTCTCGCTCCACCTTCACCCAGCGCTGGATGCTGTGTATCAAAGCTTCCACCCACCTGGAGGAGGGAGATGGTTGAAGTCAGTAAAACATTACACAAATAAAAATAAAGCCAAGACGAAATCAAAAGTTCAGGTTTTTCGAGTTTTTGTAAAGAGAAACACATCCTGTTTGTTTTAGTAGAGGTTTTACGGCGCTCGCAACAGCAAAAGGTCATATGAGCGCCAAGGGGTGGATGTCAACAGAGAAATCTTTACAGGGAATCAGACTTACCCTGCTCACCTCTCTAGCTTCAATAGCACAAAGTCTGCTTCGACTATCAAGGCACCCCGGAAATTGTGGTTCACAAGAGTGTGACAAACGTACAAAAGAAGTAGAGGAAAATTGACAACAGTAAGGATTAGGAATGAAAAAGCAGCAGTTCCCTGTTGTAGATCAGGCACAGTTATGAGCATGACATTGATGAATCAGCCCATCTACAATTATACTGTGCATGAACGAGAAATGTCCCCCCTTTGTGAATGGCCCTAAAGACACTACAGTCAGTGGCACCGCCCGGGGGGGGGGGGGGGGGGGGTGGACAACTCTCCGTCTTGCGTACCTGACGGTACACGGAGAGTCAGTAAGTACGGATCCGTCCCAGCAGAAAGACAGAAACACTCGACAAAAATCATCCCCACCTCTTATTTTGTTCTGAAACCATAGCCAAGTTTCACCTGCCTGTCCTCAATAACAATCAGGAAAGAGCGTGCACTATACTTGACATACAAGTACTGAAGACCAACCTTTGATGCAATATTCCCTTATAATTAAAATGAGAAAAGTTGGGAGGTATTTTTTGACAGTTGAAAAATTTTCAAGGAAAGCAGTAATACCATTGGAGCACACCGGCACCCCACAACACTCCATACACACGACACACTCCATACACACGACACACTCCATACACACGAAGCACTTCCTACACACGACACACTCCATACACACGACACACTCCATACACACGACGCACTCCATACACACGACACACTTCCTACACACGAAGCACTTCCTACACACGACACACTCCATACACACGACACACTCCATACACACGACACACTTCCTACACACGACACACTCCACACACACGACACACTCCATACACACGACACACTCCATACACACGACACATTTCCTACACACGACACACTCACTACACACGACACACTCCACACACACGACACACTCCATACACACAACCCACCTTTTCTTGTCCGTCTCATTCTCTGCAGAGAAGAAAAACACCCTCATCTTAGGCTCTGGGGGCTGGAGGCTGAAGCTGCACTTCCTGCGGGGGTGATTCTCCGCATCCACCTTATAGCCGTGGAGATGAGCCACGCCTGCCAACACAATGACAGTTTGTAGTTTTAGTAGAGGTTTTACGGCACTCACAACTGCATAAGGTCATATGAGCACCAGAGGATTAGAGGTGTTGCAAGAGAGTAACAAACCCAAAAAAGAAGGAGGGGAGATAAGGACGATAGATGTTTGATAGGAAAGAAGAAGCAAACCATACCAGAGCATCCGCCAACCACCCACTCTACATGGTCATTTAGTGCTCGGAAAAATGTAAGACAATCTTACAGAAACAACAGGGGGAAAGTAAAGAAGTAGGAACTACCAGTAGCGCCATTCAACCACTTGCTTTATGAGGAGAAAACGTACGTGTGTTTGTTTGTTTGAGTTAACAATAACAATCATTTACACAGACGGACAGAAACAAAAGCGCGAAAGAAAAGAAGTAAGAAGACCTATCCGTGGAGCCCTCCAACCACTGCAGAGAAAAAGTAAGACAGGTAAAGTATTTCCTCAAAAAGATAAAAAGTCCTGGCATGTTAGGCCAGGAATCAAACTCAAAACCTTACCATCCCCAGTCAAACAGCATTGAGTGAAGCACTTTTCCAATTCCACAGCTGCCAACTTTAAAAAACCCCAAAAACCCCAGATTTTTCCCATACGGTGGATTCTGTTTTATCTTTTAGTAACAGTTTTACAGCACTGGCAAAACAATAAGGTCAGAAAAGAGCCAGGGATTAGAGGTATTACAAGAAAGGAACATACACAGAAAAGAAGGAGGGGACAAAAAGACAATACTTGTTTAGTGGGAAAGAAGGAGCAGACAACACCAGAACACCCACCAATGACCCACGAATAATAACTACATTCATAAGGCTAAGAGACACAAAGCACTTAAAATTCCCTTGCAAAAGTAAAGTTGGAACCCCCCCTCCCTCATTCTGAACTGGTTGCCCTGTTGCACAACATCCATCCAGGGTTATCGATGGGTTACAGTGGGGTCAAAGTTATGTTCTACAGGAACAGGAAACAGAACGCTATGATCGTTAATCTGCACAAAGACATGGGGGAGGGGGGGCCAGCTAAAGTTCACTTTTATCTGCTCTAAACTCACCAAGAGCACTGAGAGAGTTCATGTCCTTGTAGTAGTAGACACAGGCATCCTTGAGGACACAGTAACGACGTCGCCACGACCTCCGGCTGGGGCTGAGTTTGCCGAGGGAGCCGCTGCACTCGGGTCGCCTGACGTCTAGGGCTGGCAGGCTCACGTTGTGACTACTCACACTCAGGAAAGACTCTTTCTGTAGAAAGCAAAGAGAAGAAGCAAACATATCTTTTAAAAAAGAAATAAAGAAAAGATTACCTTCGAAACAGCAGTCACAGTTTAGTTTTTGTAGAGGGTTTTACGGCGCTCGCAACTGCATAAGGTCATATGAGCGCCAAGGGGTGGGTGTCAACAGAGAAGTCTTTACAGGGAATCAGATTTACCCTGCTCAGCTCTCTAGCTTCAACAGCACAAGGTCTGCTTTAACTATCAAGGCACCCGGGAAATAGCAGGTCACAAGAGTGACAAACATACAAAAGAAGTAGAGGAAAATGACAATAGTAAGGATTAGGAAAGAAAAAGCAGCAGTTCCCTGTTGTAGATCAGGCACAGTTACGAGCGTGACATGATGAATCAGCCCATTTCCAATTCTACTATGCTTGAACGAGAAATGTCTCCCCTTTGGGAATGGCCTAAAGACACTACAGTCCGTGGCACTGCCCCGGGGGGTCGCCTATGCCTGCACCACATCAAGACACAGGACAGTAAAGCAAAACAGAAAATACTCACCCTTTTCTTAGATCTAGCAGCTGCCTCTGTCAGAGCGCCAACCCACCTGGGGAAGAAACCGTATGATCAACACCTGAGCTTGGTATTTTTTTAAGCCACATTTGTGTCAGTGCTATTCAAACTCAGACATAAGTTGCAAAGCTCACAAATATTAAGCTAATACCATTGTAAAAAATATATCATCTTTTTCCAACACAAAATGAAGTAAATCAGACAACTTTAGACGATAGTACGGAAAGTTTCAAGCTGCTAGATACGGAAACAAGGCAAATGAGAAAACAGGTTCCAAAGCTGAGCTAGCAATATGTTACATCAAACCACATGTACTTCGGGAGTTTTAGTAAGTTTTAGTAAGTTTTACAGCACTTGCAACAAAATAAGGTCATATAAGTGCTGAAGATTAGAGGTGTTACATGGGAGTAACAAACACAAAAAAGAAGGAGGAGAGATAAGGACGATGGACATCTGATAGGAAAGAAGGAGCAAACCCCACCAAAGCACCCGTCAACCACCCACTTCAGGAATAAATTGAAATGCAACACATAAAAATATAAGGTATCTTTACACCCATATTGGCACAATTTAGATCATTTAGGAGGCAGGCTTCCCATCCTGCCTGTCAGAGCCAGTCTGGGCAGGGAGGGATACACAATCCCAGAAGAAAGACCGAAATACTAAATAGAAATTCTCCCCTCTGAGGAATCAAACTAGGGTCTCCTGCATGTAACAGCAGAGGGTATAACTGCCACACCACAGACATGACTGCCACACCACAGACATGACTGCCACACCACAGACATGACTGCCACACCACAGACATGACTGCCACACCACAGACATGACTGCCACACCACAGACATGACTGCCACACCACAGACACCAGTAGAAAATATACACAGTAAAGTTGTATATTATTCACAAACACATCTCCTACCCTACCCCCCCAAACAAAACCCCCCCAATAATTTAATAAAACAAAACGAAACAACCCCCCCCCCCCTAAAAAAACACACAAAAAAACAAACTTACATAGAAAACAATAAACGAACCCACGCACACAACACACACACAAAACACACATACACACAGCCACACGACTCACTCGGTCAGCTGGTCCCTGTTGTCGGTCATAAAGTAGTAGGTCCTGGCTCCATACTTCTCCGCCTTGAAGCAGAAGTGTTTGCTGGTGTCTGTGTGCCGAGAGATGGTGTAGCCGCCTAGTGGGATGGCCCCGAGTGGGTCGTGTTCCTGGGGACCAGACAGCAGTAAAGTCACGTTATTGTAAGTTAAAGTATTTAGGTTTTTAATAATTTCTTTTAGCTTAGTTTAGTATGGGGTTTTACGGCGCTCGCAACTGCAAAAGGTCACGAGCGCGCAAAACAAGTTGGGTTTTTTTTCTCGACAGTTCACCTCTCAGTCTGATTCTGGTCAATATTTCTATTTAAAATAGTTAAAACGTAAAAAAACTCGAGGGTAAATAGATTTTTAATTTAAATTTAAATTTAAAACAACTTTCTAAATAACACTTAAATAGATTTTTAGTTTAAATTTAAATTTAAAACAACTTTCTAAACAACACTTAAAAATTTCAAACAATCTATTTTATAACTTTCCAAAAAGGCCAATGGACTTCATCAAATCTAAAATTCTGCTGGGAACAACAACGCAAAAAATATCTTGCAATTTTTTGCATTTAAAATATTTCCTTCGGGTCTCTCTGAAGTCTAGACATTTGGTTAAAATGAGTCTAATGGTACAAAATTTCTTTCAATAGGAGTTTTATAGCAACTGCAACACAAGAAGGTCAAAAGTCATGTAAATGCCGAAGATTAGAGGTGTTAAAAGAGAGTAACAAATACAAAAAAAAAAGAAGGAGAGGTAAGGACAATTGATGTTTGATAGGAAGGAAGGAGCAAACCACACCAGAGCACCCATCAACTTAGTGCAGGTAAAAATAAGTACTGTATTAAACTGATGCTTATAAGCTCTGTTCATTTAGCTTTGTCAGGACAATCCAAATATAAAAAAAACCCAAAACCTCGTTGAACTACAGCTGAAACAGCTGAAGACGATCATTCATTGGCAAGAAGGAAAAAATGTCCTCTTAGAAAGTCTCCTTGTACAGTGTCGTTATAGTAGAGGGTTTTACAGCGCTCGCAACTGCATAAGGTCAAAAGAGCGCCGAGGGGTGGATGTCAACAGAGAAGTCTTTACAGAGAATCAGACTTAAGACTGCTCACCTCTCTAGCTTCAACAGCACAAAGTCTGCTTCAACTATCAAGGCACCCCGGAAATAGCGAGTCACAAGAGTGTGACAAACATACAAAAGAAGTAAAGGAAAATGACAATAGTGAGGATCAGGAAAGAAAAAGCAGCAGTTCCATAAATCAGGCACAGTTATGAGCGTGACATGAGTCAGCCCATTTACAATTCTACTATGCTAGAACGAGAAATGTTCCCCCTTTGGGAATGGCCTAAAGACACTACAGTCAGTGGCACTGCCCCGGGGGGGGGTATACATAGTGTCGTTATAAATTTTCTAAAAACACAAGACGTGAAGTGGGAAGGGGTCGTTCGTACAAGAGATCAACTTGAATGAGTGGTCGATAAAGCAGGTTTAAGATAAGATAAAAAAGAGATAAGATAAATCTTTATTGTCCAGATCTTGGCACATTGGTTTGCTGTTTCACCACACACATGCATGCACGCACGCATGCATGCACACACTCATGCACGAATACATGCAGTCCCGCACGCACGCACACAAACACACACAGGCACGCACACACGCATGCATGCACACACTCACGCACGAATACATGCAGTCACGCATGTACACAAACACACACAGGCACGCACACACGCATGCAAGCACACACTCAAGCACGAATACATGCAGTCACGAACGCAAACAAACACACAAAGGCACGCACACACTCACGCACAAATACATGCTGTCACGCACGCACACAAACACACGCAGGCACGCACACACTCACGCACGATTACATGCAGTCACGCACATACACACACAGGCATGTGCACACACACACTAGGGCTGGATTCTGCTCGGTTAATCGAAGGCTTGCAAAGCAGCAGGCGTCTTGCGCTAGAGTCTTGCGAGCAGGCTTGTGGTTTGATTTGCCTCCCGCTTGCTACCGGAGGGAACTTCCAGTGAGCTGTGACTCGCGGACAGTCCTGCTGTACTGTGTCGTGACGTCGCGAACTCTCGTGGCAGTGGGCTCAGTACATATTACAGAAGATTCTCTGGTTATTTGCGTTGAGAGGCTTGCACCAAAAGTGCAAGATCGGTTGTTGTTTTTTCATAGTTCGGTTGTAAAAAACAAAAAGCTCTATTCAATGCACTTAAAAATTAATATTGGATCGGCTATTCTTATGATGTTAAGGCCTGTTTATTTTTAATGTGCACGAGCCAAGCGCTTCATTGTCGCACGCAAAAGACCTCAGTTCGATTCCCGTATGGGGAGAAATTTTTACTGAGAATCTCCGTCTTTCTGCCGGGGCGTTCGTTGTTCCCTCTCAGCCCAGGTTGGCCCTGACATTGGGTTGAAGTAGGCCTAGCCCGTCTCCTAAATGTTCTGTATTATGTCACTGTGAGTGTAACACATCTACAAAATAGGTTACATACATACGATACAAAAGCCAATCACAACGACCCCTGGAGTTTTCCATTTTAGGGTAATCTAAGTCAACTTATTCTTATTACTACCAGAAACCTAGGTCTCTGTTACTACAATACCACGTTCCCTCTCACTTATCCATTCGCTTAGCTGATCAACGGCGGGAAGTTAAAAATAACTTCAGCTCTCTACGCCTTGCACCAAAACAAGCCCAGCCTCTCCCTTCCTCCACGGTTCAAAGTTCACACAGCGAGCAGTACTGTCTTGCTGTTTGAACACATCGGACTGTCTTGTCGCCTTCGAGGTGGTCCTACGCGTGCCGCTCGCTCGGTGTATCGAGACAGTACAAGTCAGCAGGTCAGGTTTGGAGCTTGTCCTGGGGCAAATCTCTAGGTCTAGCGCAAATCAGTACTGTGTGAATTGTGGGGCCTGTGGCAGCGGACGGGACTTAAGGCTTGCGCAGGCCTTCGATTAATCGAGTAAACTACAGCGCCACGCCGCGCAGTGACTCTGTGGGCGAGATCTCTCACTCTCCCCCTCTCTCTTTTTCTGACGTAAGTGGCTTCGCGGATTGCAAGCAGGGTGGGGATGATGAGGGGGCCTGACACGAGTGGCTTCGCGGATTGCTAGTTGCTGTGGACTTGAAGTTTAGACTAGACCAAGGAGGTTACAGTATGCGCTAGACTCAACTTATCATGCTGGTGATTTGATTTGATGACTTGACCTAGTGATTTGAGGCTTGTGACTTGAACTAGGGGCTTGTGAGCACGAGCGGGTTTGCTACCGGGGTACAGCCCTAACACACACACACACACACACACACAGGAGTAGCTGTACAGTAACCTGGTCGTTCTTGTAGTAGTAGAGACAGTTATCCTGGCGCAGAATGAAGTATCTCTTCTTCCACATGCGCACCAGGGAGGAGTGGCCCAGTTTGTACATGGCCCCCGTCATGACCGACGCCTGCAGGTCTCGCACCGGCTGGAAGTCGCTGTTGGCCACGCCCAGTCGGACGCTCCCGGGAGCTGAGGAGGAAACAACGACAATATCATTAATGTTCTCTGCGTTTGTTCATTCGAGTAATGATAAGTATATTAACACAATTTAATGGTGATTTAGAGCAGGTTTGACGCTGGTTTGAGTTTAGTTTTAGTAGAGGTTTTACGGCGCTTGCAACTGCATATGGTCATATGAGCGCCAGAAGATTAGAGGTGTTACAAGAGAGTAACAAACATAAAAAGAAGAAAGGGAGATAAGGACGATAAATCTTTCATAGGAAAGAACAAGCAAACCACACCAGAGCACCCGCCAACCACCCACAAAATATATCCATCTATGTTGACCAGAAGTCAAATTATTTACGATTGAAGGAGGTCAGGGTCACCTGGTTTCCGAGGTGAGGTAAGCGAGAAAATGGCCACCAAAGTTTGGTAATTACCATAGCTTGAGAGTCCTTGGAAACTGACAATTGATACTTTTTGTACGTTTAATCAATGTTTTTCAGTAACATCCACACAGAAATGTGCTTTTAAACAGATATAAAAGGTGTTGATCCAAAAAACGACAACTCTATAAAAATCCACAAACCCGCGGGAAAATGCCAGTTTCTTCACTCTGAATATTTTGAAGAGCGCCTGATTTCACCACGCTGCCTCATATGTTATTACTGTTCTCTGCATTTGTTTGTTCCAGTAATGAGAAGTACATTAACACAATTTAATGGTGATTTAGTGCAGTTTTTTGGGAATTTTTTTTTATAGTAGACAGTTTTACGGCGCTCGCAACTGCATAAGGTCATATGAGCGCCAAGGGGTGGATGTCAACAGAGAAGTCCTTACTGGGAATCAGACTTACTCTGCTCACGTCTCTAGCTTCACCAGCACAAAGTCTGCTTCGACTATCAAGGCACCCCGGAAATAGCGGGTCACAAGAATGTGACAAGCATACAAAAAAAGTAGAGGAAAATAACGAAAGTAAGGATTAGGAAAGAAAAAGCAGCAGTTCCCTGTTGCAGGTCAGGCACAGTTATGAGCATGACATTGATGAATCAGCCCATTTACAATTACAATTCTACTGTGCATTAGAACTCGAGATGTTAATGTTCCCCCTTTGGGAATGGCCTAAAGACACTTCAGTCATATACCTGCCAACATTACCTGGACCAAAATCTGTAGTTGACACAAATTTTTGTCAAAAAATCTGTAGTTGACCTAAAAAATCTGTAGTAGGCTATATTACCACTTGCTGCATACTTAATTGGGGATCCTTATCAATATTTTGACCCACATATACATGAGTGTGTTTGTGACTTCAAACAAATGTAGAAATTGACAAAGAACAAAAAATAAAAATTAGCAATGACAATGAAAAATTAAATTTTTATCCAGCTTAAATGAAAGAAGAGTGAATTCTAAGAATTGTGTTTTTTAAATTTTACAAATCCATTTATAAATTTAAAAAGTTATTGGGATTTTTTGTTTCAAAATTTTGGGGGACTTTATAGGAAAATATTGCCAAGAATTTCTTGAACTGTGGCCCATCACCGCTCTACACCTCAGCAAAGCAGTATCGGGAAAACCCGCAATGACATCATTGGTAACCTGCTTAGTTCTAGCAGTTTTAAACATTGAATTACTGTAAAACCCTCTGGTTTTAGGCTGTCAATCACATGCCACCTTGCGATCACGCACCTCTTGCATGCCGGCAACTCGCGTGTTGGGTCCCTGATCTAGTTTCCAGCTCTAGTGTTTTATCAAAGAATGGGTGGTAATTTTAAATTGGTACGTAAAGTGGAGGCCCACTACACACAAAGATCTGAAATTTTACAACAATACAGCAGACATGGAGGGCACTTGTCGGTGGCTTATATCTCAAAATCGGTGGATTGGCAGTTTGACCAAAAAGTCTGTAATATACCGATTTTTTCTGTAGGGTTGGCAGGTATGCAGTCAGTAGCACCGCCCCGGGGGTGTTCTCTGCGTTGGTTTGTTCGAGTAATGAGAAGTACATTAACACAATATAATGGTGATTTAGAGCAGGTTTGACGCTGGTTTGAGGAAGAGCTTTCCGGCACTTGCAACACAAAAATGGCCGTCACAGAACTGCAGAATATTTGAGACGTTACTAGAGAGGAACGTACACAAAAAAAGTAAGGAGGAACGATAAGGACGATAGACGCAAGATGGAAAAGAAGAAGCAAAGCCCACCAGAGCACACGTCAACCACCCACTTAGTGCAGGGAAAGTAGGACCTACCAATATGATATCTTCCACCCAACTGCACATACACAAAGCACAAATGTCCTGGTATGAACACAAACACAGGCAAAGATACAGAGGCAGCACATATAATATAAACAGAAGATGTAGAAAATCAGGCGTGGTCACAAATGTTTTTAGTTTTTAGTTTTAGAAGAGGTTTATCGGCGCTCGCAACTGCATAAGGTCATATGAGTGCCAGAAGATTACAGGTGTTACAAGAGAGTAACAAACATAAAAAAGAAGAAAGGGAGATAAGGACAATAGATGTTTGAAAGGAAAGAAGAAGCAAACCAGACCAGAGCACCCGCCAACCACCCACAGGTCACAAATGTACATGATGGCAGCACAACCACCAACTCACAGTTCTGAATGAGTTTCACAATGTCGCTGTGGTCGGAGGTCAGAACCAGGTCGCCGTTGACCGAGACCAATATCTGGCCTTCCACGATACCGGCCTTTTCTGCGGCACTTCCTGAGTAGAGGAAAAGAAAAACCATTTTGTTAGTGAGTTCATATCTCCACTAGCCACAAAAAGCTCCCACAGAAAGATTGTCTATTGCAGTCAGTTTTAGTTTTAGTTGGAGTTTTATGGCAATTACAACACAATTAGGTCATAGGAGTGCTGAAGATTAGAGGTGTTACAAGAGTGTAACAAACACAAAAAAGAAGGAGGAGAGATCAGGACAATAGATGTCTAATAGGAAAGAAGAAGCAAACCACATCAGAGCACCCACCAACCACCCACTGGAGGAGAGATAAGGATGACAGACGTTTGATAGAAAAGAAGGAGCAAACCACATCCACCGACCACCCACGAAGACAAGAGTTGTTTTACTAGAGAGTAACATACAAAGAAAAGAAGGAGTAGAGCTAAGGACGATAGATGTTTGATAAGAAAAAGGAGCAAACTACATCAGAGCACCTATCAACAGTTGGAGCAGCACATGAGCATAGTGAAGGGAACCTAGTGTAGGGAAAAAAGTAAGACAAGGGAAACAACAGACGGACAGAAAAGAACTCACTGGGACATACCAGTCGTGCCCTCCAACCATCTTCACACAGAAAGAGGAGGGACTGGTCTAGGGGTTACAGCAAACAAAAATGTCGAAGGAAGGACATGACATTATTCTCTCCAGCTACCCCCCCCCCCCCAAAATCTTTATATATGTCTCTTTGCATCTACTGATAAATGCAGAGGTGCAAACTGGCTAAAAGGAAAATCCTAAACCTTTCACACCACAGGGAACATGAGCTATGAGACTCAAACCGTATGAATCACATGGTATAATACACCGTGTATCAAGACAATTTTTGTCACGATGTTGTGGAATCAGGCTCGCGTCGATTTTTGGGCAAATGGGGTTATTGATGTCATCTTAAAGCCTGTTCATTTGCCCTGCTTTAGGAGAAAACAATAAAAATCTATGTTGAACAGAAGTCGAGATATTTGCAATTGAAAGAGGTGAGGGTCACCTGGTAAAATTTACGAGAAAACGGCCGCCAAAGTTTGGTCATTTCCATAGCTTGAAAGTCCTTGGAAACTGAAAATTTAGTTTATGTGCCTTTAATCAATGTCTTTCTGTAAAACCCACACAGAAATAGATTTTTTAATGGACATAAAAGGTGTGGAGCCCAAAAAACAAAAAAAAGAAAATTAGAAGAAAAAAAATTGCCCAGTGGCCAGAAAAACGCCAGTTTCTTTGAAATTATAATTTTGACAAGCGCCTGATTTTGACAAGCGCCTGATTTCACCACGATGCCTCACATTTCTAATGCAATACGACATGCACAAAGATACTAAAACAGAAATAATTAATTTTAAGCAAGCAGGAATATATATATAGCAAACGAAACTGTGCAAAACCCAGACAATGTCATGAATCTCTAAAAAACTGGTACTTCTGTCAAACCATGAGAAAACAAACAGCAGCATCAACTGACCGGGGTCAACCGACGTGATGTAAGCCGGGTGACTGTCCAGCAGGTGAAGGCCAAGGTCATCACTGTCTCCCGTCCTCTGCACCACCACCAGTTTGTCCTGATCTGGAAAACGAAGTTTTTTGTTTTAGTAGAGGTTTTACAGCGCTCGCAACTGCATAAGGTCATATGAGCGCCAGAACATTAGAGGGGTTAAAAGAGAGAGTAACAAACATAATAAAAGAAAAGGAGAGATGAGGACGATAGATGTTTGATAGGAAAAAAGAAGCAAACCCCACCAGAGCACCCGCCAACCCCCCACAAAAGTGGTTCTCTTAGACAAGTGGAACCGTTCGGAAAGTGTAATTATATACCGAGTCGCAAAAGTTCTGTCACACCCACCTTAAAAGTACAATAACTCGTTTACTATTCAACATAGCTAAGAGAAATTTGGTACACGAGATCTTTATTCATTTTCTGCCAACATGACATGAAAAGAATTGCCAAATGTCTTTCTTTATTCAAGGGAGATAATTTCATTCACACTGACCCTTGCAAAATACAAATCAAAATTTGCTCAGTATGGCGTGTGGCCTCTTCCAGCTTGAATTACTGATACAAAATATCTGTTCGTTGACTGAATTAATGTCCTTATGGTTGTCTAAAGAATCCCCCGCTATTCTTTGTGAAGTGCAGTCTTGAGTTCCTGACGAGTATATCGCTGGTGGAGTGATGAAACCTCGTAACCCTCAATTTTTTCAAAATTCGTTTTTTTGGCTTAATATCTTCTCCCAGTTCTTCTTCATATTGTGTCAAAAGCACTAGGTTAAATTAGTGAGAGAAAGTATGAAAAAAACGTAATAAAAAAACCTCGTATGTTTGCCCCCATGATATCCTGGCGTGATGAAACCTCGCAACCCTCACCCGGTGCGCCGATTTGCTTTTGCGTGGTTTCATCGCTCCCGGTTTGAGAGAGTGGCGTGCTTATACGAGGTTCTGGATAAGCTTTCTTTATGAATTAGCTTAATTGAAGCGCTCATAACTGACATTGTCTGGTGCATTTAATGTATCTGACGGAATAAAGAAATATTTTATTCATTCATTCATCCATACATTCATTCATTGTTTTATTCATTCACCTTATTTTAGTCAGTTCAGAAATTCAAATATGGTCATAAGTGAAGTACTTACATTGTGTAAAAATCCATTCATAAGGATGAGATAACAAGCTGATAATCAAGATGTTCTCATCGAGCACAAACGTAGTTAACATTTAAGTTAAGGCAACGGTCACACCTTGAAATAACAGGTGACGGTAGTTTTCACTAAGACTAGGTGACAGATCTATGCACTCTCCAGATGTCAACAGGCCATTCTGTTGATCAAAGAGACGGTATGGTTTCGCATTTTCTCAGACTATTTTTAGTTTTAGTAGAGGTTTTACGGCGCTTGCAACTGCATAAGGCCATACCAGCGCCAAGGGTTGAATGTCAACAGAGAAGTCCTTACAGGGAATCAGATTTACTCTGCTCACCTCTCTAGCTTCAGCAGCAAAGAGTCTGCTTCGACTACGTGTATCAAGGCACCCCGGAAATAGCGGGTCACAAGAATGTGACAATCATACCAAAGAAGTAGAGGAAAATGACAATAGTAAGGATTAGGACAGAACAAGCAGCAGTTCTCTGCTGTAGTTCAGGCACAGTTATGAGCATGACATTGTTAGATCATCCCATTTACAATTCTACTGTGCACTAGAACGAAAAATGCCCCCCCCCCCCCCCCCCCCATATTTGGGAATGGCGTATAGACACTTCAGTCAGTGGCACTGACCCGGATGAGTCTCAGACTATGAATCCGCTGTGTAGTCGAATCCTCCAGTTGTGGTTGAGACCGAATAGTACTGAACTTAACCATGGTCTTGATGACTCTGAAGTCTGTAGAGGACATTGTGACAAATTTGTGCCCCAACAACACAAGTAATACGGACATTTCCGAATCTGTATTGAATATCTCTTCCTAACTGTGCTCATCACCTAGATCTTTATACCCTACAACTGCTGGTTTGGAAACCACTGAGCAGACCACGTTCCATGAATTGACCCCGCTCACCATGTCGGAGTCTTTTCCAGGGCTGTCCCTGATATGTGGAGATAAGGAAGTATCAGCATCATCCCAGATTGAGTCTGCACCAACACCGGTGTCGCCTGGAATCATACCCTAAAACATACTGACGTCACACTAGGCAGCTGTAAGTCAGATGTTGAATTATTACCTTCGAGGTCACTCCAACACGATTTGTTGACCATATTCAGGCAACTAAGCCACTTTTCCTGGAGCCTGATCCCGAGACACAGCCCATTTGTGATGCCAGCATACATGATGTTCCACAGAGGAAAAGAATGGGTTTTCAGGAGTGGCAACAAATAAACGATAGGCCTTCCGTGGATCATGACAGGATCGGAATACATAAAGGTACAATGAAAAGCCCAACTAAGTTATTGAAACCAAACTGTGATTGCAAGAGCTGGACTCTGAAATATAAAGGGCTCTCTGAAGTTGATAGACATTCTAATTTTGATTTAGTGTGGTCCCTCTCATGGGATGACTAGTGGACCTCGGAGGAGGTATTCAGAGACTAACCAGAGAGGGAATACCTTCAATAAACACTTTTAAAATGTGGCCATAAGGTGTCAGTGTGTAAAAAGATGTTCCTGAATTGAACTGGGTTGGATGAATGATTTGTAAGAAACATTTAGAACCAATACTTATCAAAGCAACTCAGATATCTACAAAATATATGCACAATTCTGCCAAGACCACGGGAGGCGGCCTCTCAACAGACCCGGCCTCGATGAAGCATTCAAGCAGAATAATCTGTCGCTATTCCTGTCAAAGATAGATATGTGTGACCTTTGCATCAGTCGTGAAGTGACAATGTGCTGGAGGATCTTTGGAATTCTAACATTCTAGAAAAGGAGGCGGCGCGCAAAGAAAAGGAACGAGATAAATCTGAAGCCATCAAATCTCTCTCCAGTAATGAACCTAAAACGGCCGTACTTTCAATGGATCTTCAGCATCAGTCTTACATTACAAAACAAAACTCGCCGTTCATAACTTTACGCTATTGGATGCCTCAACACGTCAGACTACTTTTTTACGTGTGTCATGAAGAAGAAGGGGGACTTACGGCAAATGAGTTAGCTTCATGTCTATTGGATTTCCTGAAGGAAAAGCGTGGACTTCCAGAAAACCATTATCGACAGCGACTACTGTGGTTACCAATACAGAAATGCCACACTAGCCAATGTTTCTCTAAGCCTTTTTTCAACAACACATGGAAGCACAATTGAACAGAAACATTTTATCAAATGACACACACAAATGGAAATTAACAGTGTGAACTCAACTATTAAGAGATCGCTTCGAAAAACACGCATCGAGGTCCTCCGAGACTACCTCCATTTCTACATGATGGCAAGAGCAAAACAAGAAACTTATCAAAACAAATATTTGGATCACACATTCTTCAAGGAATATTCTAAGATTCTAAGTGTGGAAGCTACGACAAGTCTATAGGACTAGGTAGAAAAACGGGTGATCCTGTTGTCAGGTGTTTGAAATACATCCTAGACATGAACATCCAGTTCAAGATGCACCTGAAGGATGAATGGGCTGCCGTTCCGAAGGCTGGACACAGAAACATAAGGTCCATCCTACCTCGCCACTCTACACAAAAGGTTTAAGTTTCAGCATTTCAAATACAATCACCTACAAGTGCTTAAATCTATTATTGCCAATATGCATCGTCACTTCATGACAATTTATACCATTAGCATTAATGGTTGTTCATTATGATTCAACATCTCTTATGAAAACCATATGTAGTGCAAACAGAGACCATATTGCAGAGATTTATTATTAATTTGTAAAACTGGAAGTAACCAGATCTAATCTTGGCAAATATAGTGAAACAAATTGCATTAATTGCAATCCGTTTGAGGATTGAAACATAAATTCTGCAAGTAACACACATTTATTTGACTTCAGTTGGCCGGGAATCAAACTCCAAACCAATTGGTTTTGAATAAACATCTTTATCACTTTGTGGCGTTTCAGACAACAGACGCATACTGCAACCAAAATAAGCAGCGAGAAAACTCGCAACCCTCAAACTCTGTCCTGATGAAACCTCGCAACCCTCCCGCCGGCTGACTACGTGGTTTCATCACGACAAAAATGGTGTAATGAAACCTCGCATCCCACAGCGTAACCACATAAACAATAGAAAAGTTATTTTTAAGTACTAACCATGTTTCTAACGTGTTTTTATCTATCTGTACCAACTTTGGTTCATATAGGTCATTTTATTTAAGAGTAAATCAGTTTTTTGTCTCTCCTGTAAAATTTTCCTTTCTGGGGTTACGAAGTTTCATCACTCCACCAGCGATATACGGACTGCGGCCTAATTCTAATCTTCCAGTAAAGGCCATTTTACAGATGTTCTGTCGAGTTAAGGCTTGCTGGTCTTGCAAGCCAGTCTAGAACAACGATTTGATGAGTTTGGAAGGAGTTTTCACTGATCGTAGCCATTTGTGGTCGGGCGTTGTCTTGTTAGCACATTCCATCATCCGTGCCATGTAGGGCAGGTCAAAGTGACGATGAATTTCGTCACAGTACCGTCGTCCTTTAAGGTTGCTTTGAAAAGTAATCAAATGTGTACGATAAAGAGCAGAGATTCCACCCCATACCATCACATTTCAGACACCGATTCGGTCCTCTTGTGGGACGTTGGATTTGGGAAATCTCTATCCTCTTCTTGCAAACACTTTTTCTCTTCCATCAATGCAACGAATTAAAAACCTTAACCATTGCTTAAAAGAACACTTTACTAACGTCTTTAGTTTCATCGCCAATGTTGTTGTGCCAAAATTTGGCGATTTGTTCGTTGAAACAGGGTTAGAATGGCTCCACGCAAAGGGCGATAATCACGTAATTCACGATCTTATAAATGTCTAAAAATGATGTTTTAAGACAGTCCGAAGTACCTGACAGTCTATGCACTTAGTTGGAACGGGTTTCGTACATGGGTGTTGACAATAACCCAATTCTGACGTCGAGTTGTCGCCCTTGGTTGGCCTCGCCTAGGCTTGCCTTGGACAGTTTTAGTGGTGTTAAAACGTTTGTTCAAACGTTAGATGGTTCTTCTACACATATTTACGTGTCTTGCAACAGCAGAAAGTGCAATCAAAGAATTTATCATACACACAGCACCTTTATTATCTGAATTTGTCAGTTTTTTATTTTGAAAAACAGGTAAAAAAAGTACCCAACAGTTAAAAAGTTCAGAATTTCATAGTGTGTAAGGTGTGTTTACACATTGTCTACGAGATTCAAATCAAGTGTTGTGTGTAGGAAGCGTTGATTTCAACGTAAACCAAGAGAAATCAATACCAACACTTTGTCCACGCACTTCTTCCGGTTTATGATTTCTTTCGTTTGCTCTTGCACAAGGAGTCTCATAAGTCACACAAGTCGTACTTTTAATTTTTACGACAATTCTAACGCTGTACCGAAAAGTATCGTAATATAATGGGTGTGACAGAACTTTCGCAACTCAGTATATAAGAGAAAATACCCACAGAAGAAGGAATGGAAAGTGGTCATTGTTCCAGGAGATAATCGTGGACAGGTGGCCATAGAGCTGGTTCTACCATACTTTCACAACGAAAAGAAGGATAATAAGCTTTGTTCATGTTTTTTTTTTTTCTCGTAAGAGTTTTACAGCACTTGCAACACAATAAAGTCATATAAGAGCCAAAGATTAGAGGCTTTACAAGGGAGTAACAAACACAAAAAAGAAGGACGGGAGATAAAGACGATAGATGTCTGATAGGAAAGAAGGAGCAAACCACACCAGAGCACCCACCAACCACCCACTTTATTCATGAGTCTGAGTAAAGAAAATGTAAAAGAAAGAGAGACAAGAAGGAGAGACGCTGAAATTAAATGGAAATTGTCCTATATATGACCCTTACTACACACTAAATAGAGCAGACCAGGTCACAATTTTTCGACTTCGTTGTGGCCACAACAGACTCAAGCACCATATCCACATCAAATTTAAAAAAGGGAGAGTCCCGCGATCTGTGAATGTGGAAACGACCAAGAGGATGCCAACCATATTATTATCCTTCAGCACTGCCCGCGCTACGCCACCCTTCGTACACAGACGTGGCAGAATGCGACTCCCCTTGAGAGAAAGCTCCATGGCAGTCTCTCAGATTTGAAGCGGACTGCACAGTTTGAGCGCGACATCAGACTGACTGTCTAGCTACTGTCATCGAGAACGACAAAAAAAACAAAAACAAAAAAAACCTCTATACGGCCAAGCATTTTTTTCTCACCGTAGACACGTGCGGAGAGACGGTGGTACTCCTGCTGGCTGTCGGCCCGCTGTATGAGGCACTTCCTGCGAGACACGTACTGACGCTTGAACTCACTCTCCGAGGCCGTGGTGGTGACGGAGTCCGAGCGGCGGTGGAGGGGGCGGGCGGGGCTCGCCAGCTCTGTGAACACGTCTTCATCTACCAAACAACAAATGAAGACAAAAGTATCTGATTAGTGTAAGTGTAAGAGTTTTAGTTTTAGTTTTAGTAGAGGTTTTACAGCGCTTGCAACCACATAAAGTCATATGAGCACCATGAGATTTTGCTTTAGTAGAGGTTTTACGGCACTTGCAACTGCATAAAGTCATATGAGTGCCAGAAGATTACACGTGTTGCAAGAGAGTAACAAACATAAAAAAGAAGAAGGGGAGATAAGGACGAGTTTTATGGCACATGCAACACAATAAGGTCGTATAAGTGCCGAAGATTAGAGGTGTTACTAGAAAGAAACAAACACAATATAAAAGGAGGGGAGACAAAGAAAATAGACTTTTGATAGGAAAGAAGGAGCAAACCACACCAGAGCACCCATCAACCACCCGTTTTCACTACTAGCAACAGCAACAACGATGACGACACACTGAAAACAAGGACAACAATAACAACAACAATAACAATAACAACAACAAAACCATCTCCACAACAACCTTCAGCCATAACAGAGATAACACAAAGAAAACAACAACAACATAACACAATACTAACAACAACAACAACAACAATACCACCTTTGCTACAACTTTCAGCAATAACAGTTCAAAGACAACACAAAGAAAACAACAACAACAATACCAAGGAACATCCCTCTGACACCACAACAACAACAACAACAGCGTCTCAAGGGATTGTTGTTTTGGTAAAGTGTTTTACGGCGCTCGCAACTGCATAAGGTCATATGAGCGCGCGGGACACACATAATATTTTCAGATGGTAGGAAATTTTGAATTTTGCCCGGATGGCGGCCGAA